TCTGCAGCTGCGTGGAAGGAGTGCTTTTTGAAATCGCTGGAACGGATATCTTCCCTCAAGAGCATCCAAACGGTCATCATAGACCAGGGATGGTACAGTGAGCGCGAGATGCGGGAGGAACTGAATTGGACCCCGCTCTGACCCTAAAACACTTCGCTGGGGATGCTGCATGCTTTTGAGTGAATAGAGTATCTCTTCAGGCAAAGAGTTAGCGGAGCCAAGAAGGCTTGCGAGTCCGATGCGGCAAACTTGATTCGGCCCTTCCGCTGCAAACAAGCTCAACCATCTTGAGTGTGACAAAGGCTCTTCAGGGGTTGACGGTTGGGCTTTGTTGTTTTGCCTGTAAGGCGCAACCGCTATGATGGCATTGAAGAGTTCTACATCACCATACGGGAGAAAGGACAGAAAAAGGAAAAGCAGACATTCGAAGAAGTCCGACGGGAACATGCGAAGGCACCATGCACTCACGTGCTTTGGGGCCGAGTGACGAGCGTCCCATGCTGCAGGCTGAGGAGGGTGTTCCGGAGCAGCCCCGCGCCTTCGATTTGGTGAAGAAGCCTCACATGCAGCCTCAGTACGAGGGTGCAGCTCCGAAGCCCTCCGAGGAGGACACGCGTGACAAAACTGCGGCACAGGCTGGTGGCTAAAAACCTGCTAAACCTAACCCTGTCTGGGCAAACTAAGGGCAGGGGCGGGGGAGTAGGGGGTTTCGGGGGGGGGTGGTTGGGGTGAAAGCAGGTTTCTGGACAACGAGCCCATTTTGATGATTGTCCAGAAATTCACTTTTCATGGTTGGTGGATGCCCTTTTCATTGTTTGCCAGGCGCGGCAGGTCAAAATCACTCATCTTATTGGCTTATACATCTACGGCAAAATTGGGTAGGGCGAACGTTCTCTTTCGGGTTTCCTACGGTTTGTTTCGGATTCCCTTCGGGTGCTTTTTGGGTTTTCCCTACGGTCGTTTTGGGTTTCCATCGGCCTCCTAAGAACTCATTATGACACCCGTGACCCGCAATCTGTGTATTTTGGGCCCCCAAAGAACGGTTGGGGCGCCGCGTGAAAGAACAATATTTTTCAAGTAATCACGCAAGATGCAGCTTTCTCGAAGGGTGGGGAAGGGGGGGGGGCCCTCCATGTTGTTTGCTTTATCCCTGCAGAGAAAAGAAGATTTGCGCCGCTTCATGGAGAGCATTTTGAGCAAAACCACGAAACTGCGGGGTCTCAGCAGGGATCTCCGCCGGAACTATTGCGAAGAAGAAATCAAAGAGCCCGAGCTTTAGTTGTTAGCGTTTGCTCAGAACTGGCCCTCGTAACATTGCACTCACGGTGAATTGGCCGAACGCTGAAGGTCCCAGCAAAAGCTGAATGAGACTATCTCGAAACTAGATCGGGAATACGACGCCTGCAACGAGTGCATGACACAAGGGGATTTGGATGGTTTCAACAACGCCGAGTGGCCAGCTTAGCGGTTGTTTGCTCACCCCAACCTGATTCAACCTGAGCTTTGCTTAGTTCCGTGTGTCCTGGCTCAGGCTATGGAAGCGGACCGAACAGCAAATCCGAAAGACAACCAGCGCGCAAGTGGCTTAAGATGGTACACGTCTAGCCGCTAACCCTGGTTGTCTTGAGGTGCGGGCTTGCGACCTCGCTGGAGAAGAAGATCAGGCCTTGACACGTGCGGCTCATGCGTGAAAGAGCTGAACTCACTTGAGCTAAACACATCTCTCCAGGACAGCCAAACGGTACTACCAGTCAAAGAATGAGTCAGAACCCGTCAGTGCAGCCAACCCGCCGAAAAAGCGGAAGGCTGAAAAAGATGAGGAACCTGGCCAGCAAGCATCTGCGGCAAAGGCTAAGGGGAAGAAAAACCTTGCAAAATCCCAGAAAAAGTCGAAGAATGCTTCGTAGAGTCCATGGAAGCCTGCCAACTTTCCTTGAGCCAGTTCTCGTATATGTGCACAAGTGAGTGCTTGAATCCTTGTTTGGTGTGATAACGGCCTCCGGGATTCTGGTGTGAGGGGGATAGATCCGCCTCCTTGCGTCAGCCATTAATTTGCATCTTCATTAGGTGCTGACCCGCGCAGACACAGCGCGCCAGCACAGGCGTTTTGAACTTCGAACAAACCTTCGGGGAATAGACTCAGATTCGGCGCGCAGCAAGCGGGCAGATGGGGATTGGATTGTGCGCTGAAAGCCACAATCACCACGGTGCTACCCTGCCAGTTGCCAGCAGCACGAAAACCTGACGCTGTGCATCTTGAAAGCCACGCATGGCTGCATGATTGCACCGGCAAATGTGCCACTTCCAAAGTCGTGCCAGGTGCCGGGCACACATTGAAGTCGCTCGCCAAGAGCACGGGCGAAGGTGTAACTTGGCCTCAGTGATGCGGGAGGCCTATCAAACTATTTCGGCTGAGTTTTGGGCCCCACGTGGGAAAACAAACAATGCGTTGCTTTGCAGTTTTTCACCTGGTTCATCTAAGGCGCCTTGCGCTGAAGCCATCAGAACTGCCCAGAGCATCATGAAAGATATTGGAGCTTCAAGCTCATGCCTTTCAGACACTGGAATTCCTGAGCTAGCAGCATGCCACGTGGACCACTCCGAACATGATATGCACCGGGTTGTTCAATCATTTGGCTTGGAGCTGCCGATCCCTTTGACGCCCGTGCCAAACACGGACGCGGTGGCTTTGAGACTCACGGATTGGGCCGATTTTCTTTTGAAGCGGGGGCTGTGGCACATGCTTGCTGGGTTGCGGAAGCGTGACGATACCCGTTCGCGGGCCATTTGGCGTTGCTTTTGGGCGCGGTACAAACGGCAATGCCCTAAACATCCTATTTTTCAATTGGAACAAGAAGGCGAGGTGAAGCTGGAAAATACATGTGCTGTTCTGTACCATGGAGACGAAGGCCGCGGCCGAAAGAAAAAGCCATTCTATGTATCGAGCTTTTCCAGCGTATTAGGGCATGGGACCTCTGCCAGCAAGAAGAAGCGAAGGCCGTGCTATCTGAAACAGAAGCTCAACTACAGATTACCTTCCTTGGTGACTCGGTTTCTTAGCTCAGCTTTGCCAAAAAGCCAGTATGGGAAAAACGAAACAACTTTCCGGGCCTTGCTGAGCTTTGCCGCGGAGGATGCGTATGAAATGATGGTCACTGGCAGGACTTGCCCACGCCAGGTGAAGCATCACATGGTGGTGATCAATGTTACTGGGGATTGGCCGTGGCTCATGAAATGTGGCCGCATGGTTCGAGGGTTCACCCGAGGCCCCAAGAACACTTCCTTTGACCCCAACACAGCAGCTGGAATTTGCCACATGTGTCTTGCTGGCACAAAGGACCTGCCCTTCGAGGAACTGGGTGTGGAAGACCCGCAGTGGCTGCCCACTTGCCACACGGAAACCTTCTACAACATCAAGCCTGAGTTCTTCAATTGGCCTATTCAGGATGAATCCAGGGAAGCCGAGTTCTTTGCAGTAGACCTTTGGCACAGCTGGCACCTGGGTCTTGCGAAGGTTTTCTTGGGGTCAGTTTTGGCTTTGATGCTCCCGTTTTGCCCTGGAAACAAGGCCGAGGCAAGGTACGAATCTATGACTGAACAATACCTGCTGTTTTGCAAGGGGACGAAGAGGCACGCCTATTTGACAAAGATTACGGAAGACACGATCACGTGGCAAAAGAAAACAGACTTCCCTTTGGGTCATTGGCCGAAAGGATCCGTCTCCACCCACTTATTGGAATGGTTCATCAGCTGGTTTGAAGAGTTTCAGCCACCTGACCCAATGCTTCGCAAGTCCTACGAGGCCGCTTCAGCAATGAGCTGTTGCCTGAATATGCTATACAGCATGGACGTTTGGCTGCCAGCCAAAGAGGCAACGGAAATTGCAAGACTCGGACTGAGATTTTTGCACTTGTACCGATCGCTTGCGGAGGACGCTTTCCGGGAACGAAGAGCATTGTACGCTTTGACCCCAAAAGCTCATATGATCCACCACTGGTTCCTCACTGGCATGCTCATTCCAGCAAAAACTGCCCCCCACATCCTGAACCCATTGATCTTTGGGTGTCAGATTCAAGAGGATTTTATTGGAAGACCAAGCAGAATGGCGAGACGCGTATCACCACGGCAAACAAACGTAAGAGTTGCACAAAGATACCTTCGGGCGGCTTATGCTGCTTGGGTCTCTGAGGGGTACTTATCATAGTGTATAATGGGCAAAATGGTCGCCATCTTTGTCTCCAATGTTTTGCATTTTCAATTATGATGGTCCCCCCCCCCAAAAAAAAAACGGCAACCGATGCCCTGTCGAGTGCCCCGCGGGACGTGGATCTCGTGGATGGTGGAGGCCATCGCGGGAAAAGGGCTTCGAGGCGCACGCTGGGTTCTGGGGTTTTGGCGGGGTAAACCGAAAACCTGGTTTTCAGTGGAAAAACCTGACTATTTTTGGCAACCCACAAAAATGTAGGATGTTGGAGTACCAGGGGTGAATTATATTATTTTACCAACTTAAAATAAGGTGGTAGGGGGAGATTCCCCACATAAACCACAATTTGGGGTGAATTCGGTCGTGTGAGGTCGCTCTAATTCACCCAGTTCTTATTCATGGGCAGGGCTTAGGCTTCACTCGTTCCATTCTTGGGGGTGAGGACTTGAGCAACCAAGTCAAATGCGTACCCGTTTTCTTACTTTTTGAATGGATAGCCCAAAAGAAGCCTAAACTTTTTGCGTGCCACTAAAATAGTCTTCACAGAAAGGTGAAAAGTCCTGAGATACCGAGGATCCACACCAAAGATATCCGGACATCGGGGCATTACCCAATGGAGTGACTTTTTCCCCCAGTTGAAAGGCCAGAAACAGAGGTTGACCTTTTGGGACCAAGACACAATATGGACCAAACATGTGACACCAAAAGAAAAGGTCATTTCAGGTCGATTTACTTTGGGCTGGTAACAAAAGGAAGTTCCCCGTGGGGAGTTTTCTGGCTTGAGGCGTGTGAGCGCCTGAATCTTGGCCTGCTCGAGGCGATGCAGCTTCAGCCAAGGGTTCTGCAAGGCCTCGCGCTGGTGGCACAAAAATGCGGAGACGACGCGAGTGATACGTTGACCCCGGATTAGTAGACCCCTGTGTATTCATATGGGGGTGGTGTTGGCCCCTCCAAAAGTGGATTCCCCACTAAATATCAATAGAAAGGGGTTTGTTCATCTGGGCTCAATATTAAAAAATGGGTGGCTTGTTGTGGGTTTCCCTTTTTAACAGCACCATCTTTAGGAAACCTCCATTCTCAGGCTATCCTGAATTTGTGGTTTGGATTGGCGGTTTGGAAATTTGAACCCCTGAACCACCCCGAAACGCCTCCAAACCATGCAGTAGAGGGAATGTTCCTGCCCCTTGCTTGCCGAAAGAAGGCATGACTGGGTCTGTAGTGTTACCCCCAAGGCTAAGAAAAAGCGGGAAAGCATGGCATGATTGGGAAACATGTGTTTAAGCAACTACCCCCTAGTCCGCATCAACCAAAAGAAGGTGGGGCATGTGGGAAACAGAAGGTGAAAGAAGCTCTCCTATTCTCACTTCCTGAGTGGATTATCCCAAAAATGTCTGAACTTTCTTCACCACCCGAAAGCATCTTAAGCAACCAAAAGGGCTCTTGAAGCAGGGAGTGAGCCGGCATCCCCCCAAAAGAGATCCGAAAAGTGAACGAGCCGCATCCAACTACCAGAATCTCGGCATGTTGTTCCCAAGTTTCATTTTGCCCACTCCCTCCCACCAGCCAACATAGAAGTGCACAGGCCCCTGCAAAAAAAACAACTACTTTCCTCTTGGAAAGGGCCCTTTTGCACTTCCATGTTAGTGTGTGGGAGGGTAGACGTTTGGATAACTTGGTGCGAATTGAACCCCTGGCAGCTCAGCTCGAGCTTTCTTGGGTCTCTCAAAATAGAGACCGAAAAGCAGTTGCTGTCCCTTGACTCCCTTGCAAACAGCCCAAACAGGGTACTCAAAGGCATACCCCGTTTTGGCGCAAGGGTCAACGCCCTAAGGATTTAATCATCTTCCATGAACTTGGTGCGCAAAAATGTGTTCGGTATCAAACGTTTATCCAGTTACACACCCAATCAACTGGCCGATGCTTGGAAACCTCAATTTTGATCGTTTCGTTGATCAGTGGCTAAACCGTCATCCCCGCCCAATGGCTCGTCCCTTAAACCAACCATTTGCATTTTGGGGAGGTCACTCCCGAACAGGGGGAAATGATTCAATATACTTTGTGCCCCCAGAAGCCATCCTCAGGTATTTGGACCCCAACGGGAAACCCTGTTCTAAACTGGGTGACTTTCGGAAAAAATAGATGGGCCTGGCTCATGGAACAAAACTACCAAAAGCATGGTGAGGCATAATCAAAACCCGGTAATAGAATGCTCGACCCAAAACTATGGAAAAACAGAAGGCGGATGTCCGCAGCTATTGATGTTTGGGATTGTCCCTTACTGTTAAGGCCCCAGGAGAAAAAAGAATATATTTCCAATAGTGATGAATTCCTTTTAAAACCAACAAGGGGAACAAACACAACATACACAAATACCTTCATTTGCTTACCCCTTAAAACTCCAAGCCCTGGGGAAGTTAATTTTTTACAGACATATTGCCCATGTTACCCAAAAAGTTGAAAAGTTGTGTTTTTAAGAGGTAAGTTTCAGCAACTGGAAGAAACTCACCTACCAAAAGGAACCACCCACAATGACCCCTGGCGCCGCTTCAAGGCCACGCCTCCCGGAGCCGCTCGTCCTCCAGCAGCTGCCGCAGCCGCGGGCTTCTGTTCAGCAGCTCCGGGAGTTGCACCGCGCCCTCCGCCACCACGTCGGCCTGTCTCGGCGGAGAAGGTCGTGGGGCGTGGGGCGGGGCGGTGGCCCGTTTCATCCAACCGAGGTGACCACCAAGATGGCTATATGCAAGGCTTCTATACTTCCATGTGCGTTTTGGGCCCCTGGAAAAACAGAGCAGTGATGGAACCCCTTCCGTTTCAACCACCCCGAGCTGACTGGCACCGAACTGTGACTGTCCATTGCAGGGGTTCCCACAAGGTGATGGGAAGTTGGTAAGTTCTTCCAGACCCACCCCCCCAAAAAAAAAGAAGCGAAGAACAATAGACAGGTTTCTGTACTTCCATTTGCGTGTTGTTGGCCAGTTGGGCCCCTGGAAAAACAGAACATACTTCCAGAAGTGATGGATCCCCTGTACCAAGACGGTTCGGACAGCTTTCTTTGGCCCGGAGCCGTGCTACCATGTGCCTGACTCGCTAGCTCCAAACAGATGGCCCTAGCTCCTGAACGGCTCCCTTCCAACCACCAGCTAGTGTGGTAGAACAAACTGGTTGGCTAGCAAGATGGGTATGCAGGTTTATATAGCGTGTGTTTCATACATATATATTGTAAGGCACACACCCAGTTGTCACATGTTTTGCCGCCACATCCATTTGCGCAGCACCCCCCCCCCAGTGCAACTTACGTAGTAGGTGGTTCTCTCACCTGGACTTGCAAGGGTTCTAAGTAAGCTCTATATAGTCTATAAATCTGTATAACCACCTAGCACCTGGACTCTATACCTGACTCTATTCTGGCAACAGTGAGTCCCCTTTATCAACCTTTCTCAGCATCTTGGCCATGGGTGTCCTTTTGGGAAAATAGATGGCCCTGGTAGTTGATTGAACCACCAGGTACACCAGGGCCCTCTATTGTTCAACCAAATCAACCAAAAAGGACACCTATGATTTTGGCACTTGTTCTCCCATTTTGCAGTGAGCAACGGTTGAGCCAAAATCAAAGCGTGCTTAAGCCAAGACTTGGTAGAGCCAGAGTTGGGCGGGACTACTTGTCAATATGACGTGGGTTCACTTGGTTTTAGTCGGGTTTCGTGTTGTCCAACCCGTGGAAAATGAGCAGCAAACCCTGTTGCAGCCACCAGAAAAAATGAATATGAGCAGAAACAAACAACTAAACCTCCACACATGAACCGAACCCAATAACCAAACAACTAACATGCCAAGAACCGTTAAGACTAAGTAGATAAAACTGACTTGTGAAAATGATCGGTTGCCCAAAGAACATAGAAACAAAAGGTTCACCTTTTGGCCATGACTAAACATGGACCATTTTCAAAAAGGCAACACCAAAGGCTAAAGGGTCGATTCGCTTTGGGCAAGTAAGAATTGTGTGCCAACCTTTGGGTGAACTTGACCCTGCTCACCTGAGTGGATTCGCCGAAGTTCAGAAACTGGGCAAGTGAGTGGCTGCTTGACAGGGAAAACCAAAGGAAAACCCGTAAAGAAACAGTTCAATAAGCTAAGGTACGATATAAAGAAGATTGAGTGGCCGCTTGACAGGCAATACCAAGGGAACACCCGTAAAGAAACAGTTAAATAAGTTAAGATGCGTTGCACACAAGCTTTTGTTCGTGAAAAAGGTGTTGTTTTGCCCCAAAAGAAAAGGGGGAACTGTGTGTTTGACCCCATGTTTGCTATTCAGTAATCTTCATGGGATTCGACTTTGGCAAGGCCACCTTTTGGGGAAACCGATGTCACTGGTGAATAAGCCGCCTTTGAAGCGGCTCCAAAAGGGCCATGTGCCAGGGTTCAGTCGAATAAGTAGCATCTCCCAATCCTACCGGTTTACATAAGAGGGTGTAACTACCATGTGCCTATAACCAGCACTTGTAGCTGCGAAAAGCTCCCTCTTTGGATTCGAATTTAGATAGCTCAACGGCTCCCTTCCAACCACCTCGATTCTTCCGTCAGGTTTCCGAAATCTCGGCCTCGAAGACGTTCCGCTTGGCCAGCGCCGCGCCCGTGCGCGCGCCGGATGGGTCCTTCAAGGCCAACTTGTTGCCGCTCTGCTGCAACAGCCCCGCCTCAGCCGGCGGCTTGGGGCACGAGGCTCGTTTGGGTGCGCGGGGGTTGGGTGGCTCGATGTTCCTATTTTTGCCAAACAATCGCAGCCCAAAAGGGTGGTCAACTTTTTGGCTTCGGTGAAGAGCCAGGCCAGATCTTGTTCTAGGAATCGGAACCCTTCCCCTTTTTTTTGCTTCCCCTCAACACCAGAAGAAAACGGGATGCCGTCAAAAAAAACACCCAACTAGAGGCTGCGGGGTGCGGGAATATCAGAAAGCCCAACAGGTCTGGAAAAGTACACTGCAGAGGTTGAACTTTCAAAGACCTGGAAAACTTCAGAGCAATGCCCCTCCCTTTCTGGGTTTCGAGATGCCATTCAGCTCCCAGCACACAAATCCGGTGTCTTCCCTCGTTTGACCCTACCTCAGTTGCCCAAAGGACCCAAAACTAAAAAGTTAACCTTTTGTCACCTCTGCTAAAAATGGGTGCCAAAATGGGATAAAACCAAAAGGTCAAAAGGTCGATTCGCTTTGGACAACTGAGCTACACCTGGGAGTCCAAGACGATTGAGACTGGTGTCCCCCAAAAAATAACCCTCCTGAGACAAATGTGTGAATGATTTGTCCAAGCCACAAGCCAAAAAAAACGCAAAAGCTAGGCTGCAAACAGGGAATCCAACGAAATCCTTCACATTGAATACCCCTTCTCAGTTGCCCAGGGAACCCTGAAAGTAGCAGGTTACCCTTTGGAGCCATGAATATTTGTTTTTTTTGGCCGGGGCATCTCCTGGCTCGCCCCGAAACCAGGTTCCTTAAGGGAACAGCCGCTGGACGCGTTTGGCACTCTGTTCACGGAGAGTCATACAATAAATTGTCAAGTACGGCATTACATTTGTCTAAGCCCCCCGGAGAAAAAAAAAAAAAAACAGTAGTGATAGATTCCCTTTAAAACCAACAATGGAGAAAAAACAAAAAACATTTCGGCAACTGGACGTTTTACGGCCTGGCTTGTGCCTCAGGCCCCAATCAGGTTTGCATGACCCGGCCTCACGGGCGATGCGGCGATGCATCCCTCTTTGAACTCAGATGGGGGGCTTCCAATGTGCCTAAGTCCACTGCAACAAATCAAAGATTTCCCATCTGTGGTAGCTTCCGTTTTAAAACACCCGGAGGAAATTACGCAAGACATCTTAAGCAACTGGAAGGGAGTGGTTGCGCCATGGGGTGGCTCAAGCCCATCAACCTCCCCTGACTTTCTCCGTTCCATGGCTGCCAGAAGCTCAAGGGGACGCCCCAAAAGGCGCCCACAGGATCCCAATCCCCACTAGAATGGACTAAAATGGGTGGTGCACCTACCCCAAAATGGTACCAATGGTTTTGACCCATACCCATATTTGGAGGAGACCCCCGAGTACCTTGACCTCCTCCCCCCCACCCCGGGGTGGGTGGGTTGGTGGGTGGGTGTTTTTTTTTGGGTGCCAGTTTTCAAGCTGGCTTCAACGGACACCCAAAACAAAATCTGCAACTTCTGGAGTCCCCCCTTTGACACATCCGGCCGCAAGATACCCCCAGACCGCCCGCCCCGCCTCAAAGCATCCCAAGATCTCCGCGCGCAGCTCATCGGCGCTTTCTTCCGCCACCGCCCCGTCACGCACCCAAACGCCCCACTCTGCCAGGGCGGACGACGACGATGACGCGGACGGGGAGTCGGAGTCGTCGAGCGTCCACATGCGAGGCGGGGCGGTCTCGACATGCGGCGGGAACTGAGCGACCCAAGCTTGGTGGCCAATTCATGCTTTCCTTCCATTTGGTGAAGGCCCCAGGAAAAATAAATGTTACTTCCAGTAGTGATGAATTCCTTTTAAAACCAACAAGGAAAGATCACAAAACAACATATATTCCTAAGCAAATGGAGGTTTTGGCCTTTGAAGCAACTTGCGCAGTTCAAAGCTTACCCGCTCAAGGCTGATAGAACGTTCCAAACGTGCCTTTCCCATCCGTACTCCTTTTCAGAAACCCTGCTGTTGAAAAACAAGACTGAACCTGATAATCAGGGTTGCTAAAGAGGATGAAGCTTGGAAGCAGGGGATCAGCCTTTGCTGGGTTTGTTCGTGATATCATGTGCCACACCCTCTTTTGAGACGTGCCCGTGTGCAGGTGTCAGCTGTCATGTCAGTTTTGCGGAGTGTGCTGAAACCAGCGGCCGGCCTTTCGAAATGCCTGCGGACACGAAGAGGTCATAGGTGTGTCAGCAACCGTTGCAAGCGCTGTTGCTTATGGTAACTCCCCTGTTGTGCAATTTGTGTTGCCGTGTTCTTCCTGAATCGTGACCATCAGGGCTGTGGGAAATGCCCACTTCTGTGATACAACAAAAAAGATAAAAAAGGGCCCCCAAAGACTGACCCCCCATATAAAGAGGGGATTCCCTTGTATCACAGAAGTGGGGATGAACCCCTTGATCCCACAGTTGCTGGCCTCATGATGAAACTCTCCTGTCAGCTTCCTTGGTTGAAGGAGGGTGCTCGAGCTTTTCGTCGGTAAGCTGGGCATTGCGCAAGTCCTCACACAATGCCCCTTCTTCCCCGCCAGCGCCCCTGTCTAGCAAGCACCGCGCAACTCCCGCAGTGATCAATTAACATGCAATGTTGAGTGGGTATCGTTGATCCTTGTCAGCACCGGCTAACAAAAGACTACGAAGCAGCAAGGTGCAATGGTGTGCCAACATGGTTGTCTGCCTGCTACTTGTCAGCCCCAGCTTTCTGCAAGCACTGCACGACTGCCTGTTGGCCATTAAAGGCAGCCGGGTGCAGAGGTGCGAAGCCATCTGTATCTGCCTGCTTGTCAGCCCCTGCTTCCAGCAAGCACTGCACGACTGCCTCGTGGCCCAGCATAGCAGCAAGGTGCAGCGGTGCGAAGCCATCTTTAGCTGCCTTCTGCTTGTCAGCCCCCGCTGCCAGCAAGCACTGCGCAACTGCCTCATGGCCCCGCATAGCAGCAAGATGCAATGGTGTTTTGCGATCATTGCGTGCCTTTTCCTTGTCAGCCCCAGGATCCAGCAAGGACTGCGCAACGCCCCCATGGCCTCCATCTGCAGCAAAAAGCAGCGGTGTCCAAAGGCTGTGCCTTTCAGCAGCGTTAGGGTCGTGAGGCTCCTCCAACAGCTGCAGCACGAGTTGCCTGTTGCCGCTTGCAGCCGCTTGCAGCAAGCCACCACGAGGCAGATTCTCTTCTGCTTCTTCTGCGGATGCTTCGATGGCCGCACAACTGCGGTCAGGGACACACTTTCCCACGGACTCTCAGGCCCCAGGCTGCACAAGCCTCTGCATTGGGCCTCCAGTCCACGTAGCGCGTCCCATACAGAGAACTCTCCTGCCGTCATCACCTCCGTGCCATGCAGGAAGCGAACACACACCATGCCGGAAGTAGTTAGTTGGATGTGGCTGCCTGTGAGCCGTGCCCGAGAAAAGCACACAACCTGACAAGATACGGCAAACGCTCGAGTGCAACAAGCATGAATCACAGCGCTTGGGGGTTGCTCTCCCCAAAAGCTGAGTTCGTCCCAGTTCTCAGCTCTCACGTTCTCACTTCCTGAGACTGGCCAGCAAAAGTCTGAACTTGTTTACCAAAAAGTGTAAAGTCCAGGAACTTAGGAAGTGAGAAGTCTATTCAACCCACATCCCGAAGCAACACAAAGCGCTTGGGCAGTCAAAGCCTCAAGGAAGGTCGAATGTGAGGTCGCAGCTTCGCTTGCCCCTAAAACAACGCGGACGTCGCGACTGGAGGAAAAAGCAACAAGCCCCAAAGGGCGAAGACCCAAGACCGGCTCCGATTCCTTTCCGAGAAATCAACTGAGTCCAACTTGCCGGTAGCTGGGTGTTAGATAGGTCAGCAAGGGGCATGGATCCACCACCCTTCCGGCTTCCGTTTAGGCAACATTTCATCGAAAAGAAACGCGCGGGACCGACCCAAACAATCAACATGGGCTCACCTCGATAGCAGTCGTGATAGGTTCCCATAGGAGGAATGATATATTGCACTTGCCCAAAGGGCCTTAACATGTTGACGCCTGAACTACGTAAAACAAAAGGACAATCGGACAAGCAGGATACACCTTAACAACAAGGTAAACAAACACAAGGTCACAGGTTCGCTTTGGATAAGTGCGATATTCTTAAGCCAATGGAAGTCGTGAAAATCCCCCTACCGATAGGGGCAGGGGGGTGGGGGGGGTCCGCCGATTCCATTTTTCTAGTCTTCTCCATAGGAAAAATGGGTGTTGCCATAGACGGAGATCTCCAGGGTCGTTTTCCCCTCCCCCCAAAATGTTCAAGCAAAAAAACAGAAGCCAAAAACCTAAAAACCTTTCAACGAAGATGGATTCAACAGTCGTTACCCTCCCACCACTTAGCCATGGAACCTGACACTCCATGTGAGGTGGTGGGAATGTACATATGGGTATGGGTCAGGTTCAAGTCCCATATTTGTTCAAGCTAAACTTTACCCCGGATTAATAAACCCCTGGTCGATTTTGATCGGGGGGTGTCCGGATTCAGACCACTTTTGGAGGGGTTTCCACCCCAATAATGGGACGGGTTCTACTTAGATCCTGGGTCAATAAGGGAAGCTGGAGGCTCGTGACCGGAACTTTCCGGGGCTCGTGGCAGCGGGCCCACGTCGAAGTTGTCCTTCTCCTCCACCTTCGCGTCCTCCGCCATGGCCTCGACTCGAGTAAGCTTGAAAAGCTTGTCATTTTGGGGGCGGTGTCTTTCTCCAGGCTACCCTTGGTGACTTTAAAGGGAAACCAACAGGAAAAACACATGTTTTTTGGGGGGAGGCCCCAAAACTTTGCCGGTGGGGATCCCCCCCTACCTTAAGGAGAAGGGTGGTGGGGGGTCCGGGACCCAATTCCATTGATCTAGTCTTCCCCAGGAAAGGGAAATCCCCCCTCCCCCACTTCCATTTTTGAGGGGTGGGAATCGGCTGGGAACGGGGACCCAACCCGCTGACATCCCTATGCGTGTGTCTGGTGCTCAGCAGGGATTGAGAAATGGAGTCTGACCCCAAGCAAAAACATATGGAATGACCCCTAGAAATCGATAAACCTTGATGGTATCCTTTAAGGGGGCCAAAGCCGGTTTCCGCACCCAGTGAACTTGGTTGGCGTTGGAAGGGACCAAAAGTTTAAATCTTAGCAGTAAAGTGGTTGGATTTCAACTTCTAAACCACAATAAGCAAAATGTAAAGTGCTTCCCGACACCAACCATGTTTTCGGGAACTCACAAAAAGGCCGCTACCACCAAAAAGTGGGTGAGTGGTTGTAAACTGTCCAACCCTTGGTCCTGGTATGGCTTGGCAATAAAACTGTCTGCCTTTTGCCGCCCCCGAGCCCAACACTAAAAGCCTAAACACTTGCCAACAACAGTCAAGTCCATCTATATAAAATGGCTATGGGTCAAAAATGGGTATCCGAAATGGATACCTGGATCCACTAACTAAAACCTCCGGTCCCGGTCCCTTGGTGGTTTAATTCTGACGCATACCCGAATGTCTTCCCAACAGGTGACTAAAGTCCATGAAATCAGGGAGTGAGACTTTTGCATTTGGTTCAAACCAGAAAGGACCCTTTTGGCCACAAAAATGAACAGAGCCAAACGAACTCACCGGTAGAAAATCCCCCCACCCCCAATTGCCGCGTTTTACTCCCCCAAAAGGTAAAAAACGCCTCGCTTGAGGCCCGGATTGCAGCGGTGTCCGGTGCTGAGGTCTCGGCAAAGTCTCAAGCGAATGACGCACCCCGTTTGCTGCCAGCCGAGACATTGCGAGCCGGATGCACGCAGACATCTCGAACCATTCCCTTCGGTTTCCCGTTGCCGGCTTGCCGAGCGGCTTCTTCCCATTTTATGCGGTTTGTTCCAAGAACGGGGTTGTTTCCAGTGCTTCTGTTTTTCTGTGTTCCCTGGGAGTCAAAGATGCCGAAATGTTTGGGCCTGTGAGTGACATCCATCGCCACAAAAGTCCGCGACTCAGTGATTCCATCACGGCAACCAGCAACTGGGATCCAAGTGGTCAGCACACCGGGGTTACCAGGTTGCGGGTCTCGAAAAGGGGTCGCATGAATAAGAAAACCGCCCCTTAGGTTCTGTGTGTGTGCAAGCCCTTATATGGCAAATTGTCATTTGGATTTGAATACATCACGCCAACTAGCTCGTCAATGGGAGCCCAGTAGTTCTCAACTCCTGGCTAGATACTTCATAAGGGGTGTCATTTCAGAGCGCATCCTTCAACACCCCCTATGTGCATCGTTATATCTACCAGGTTGACTGCTACCTGGTCGACATTTGGCCATGGGTCAAAATCCCGTACCCCCAGTGAACATCCCAATCCCCACTAAAATTGACCAAAATGGGTGGTGCACCTACCCCACAATGGGATCCCATTGGTTTTGACCAGCCATTTAAAACAAATGTGCAACTGTGCTGCAAATGCTACTGGAGTTCCAAACCTCCAAAGGGGCCCCATGGATACTTCTCCGAGCCACACCCAAAAAAAAAGAAAAAAAAGGGGGGGGAAGGCAGAACAACGGACTCGGCCCCAAACTTTTGGGGGGGCCAGTGGGCCTAGAAACGCCCCCAACCCAAGGCATTGGTCAAAGTTTGGGGTAAAGTTGGGGGATAGGGGGGTCGAGCTGGATTTCCCCAAACCAACAGCTGATCAAGTTACGAGTAATTCCATCGAAGCCTGGTCCAAAACGACATAAACACATAAAATTTG